GTAGCTGCTATCAGCTTTAAAATTATGTATTGAAACGTGTACTTTATGGTTATGTAACGCCATATATCAACCGTGAATGCATGGTGTGTGCACTATTTTTATGTGGCGCTCCATAGCTGATCCGTTGCCGCACTCGAGCACGATGTTCCTACCCATTATTGTATTTTTCTAGATTTTTGTAATTTTAAGACACGAATAAACAATAGGAATGCAGTCGATTTACTTCATACTGTAATTCAACTACCAGACAAACTATAAGTAAATGTATTGAAAATAGGAAAACTGATTGGGGTGATTAGGTTAGGTCTAGGCTAGAAGGATTTGTTTACCTTGTTATACTAGGTTTTTGAAACAGCCCATTCAATCACCCAATACGTGTGCAGGTCGTGGTAGACCAGTTAACGATTTAAAAGAATCATTCATAAAGGTTTGCAATTTCATGGAGGAAAATGATGATTGCCAGCATAGTTTTCCTAACCTTTTGCAATTAATGAAAAATTTATCAGGCCAGGTGAAATGTATATGTACCAGGTTTATGAAACGAAGTACTTCAAAACATTATTTTTTAATCACTTAGTGAAAGACTTCTTATTAGACTACGAACATAAAAATAAATCCTCCATAGTTTGTTTAAGAGATAGGGTGGGCAAGATTTTTTCTGAAACTTGGTACTCTTAAAATAAAAGGTATAACGGCGATAAGTACTTAGAAGAACTTAAACACTTTGTCTTCCCACTGTGATGTCCATAGTTATAAGACCAGAAACTGTGCTAAACTAAGAAATTATTACTGTACATATAGTATTACTCAAAAAAGCTTTAAATATTCCTCGATTAAGTTATTCAATCATCTACCATATTATATTCAAGAGTTACCATTAGATAAATTTAAAATAGCTGTTAAGAATTTGTTATTGAAATACTGTTTTTATGACTTAGATGAATATTTTGACAATTGGTTTGACCATTGAAATGTTTTATTAATTTACATATTGACGCAGCCTATACAGCATTGTATGATTTTTGTACATTGTTGTCTCGGAATAAAGATTGATTTGATTTGATTTGATTTGATAAGATTAAGAGAATCGTTTCTACAGCTGCGGCTTTGATAAGACAATAAATTAAGAACCGAGTGTATGATGACTCGTCTTACCCCAGTGTTGAAAATATAAGATCAGGGGGAAAGAAGTTGTAAGGGAAAAATTGCAATTCGATGTATGAGTAATTCTTAACTTCAAATCATGATAATGCAATTATTTGTTCAAAAATAACATCCAATACAATTACTATGAACATATAACATTTATTTCATGCTTTTTAAATACAAAGGATAGAAATAATTTTTTTTAACCGTACATGGGTTTTGTTTCGGTTGTATTTTTAGCAAATCCCTCATATAGGGAATAAGCTATTACCGTAGGTCTCATGGTAAGACCTAGACCCGGGCCCGATTTACTTTTTCGTTTTGAGGCCCTCAGAGGCCGAAAACACCCTCCGCCGTTCAAATCGATAAAATAAAATAAAATTTAAAATCATATATATATGAGTCTGTTAGCGTGATAACTCAAGCAAAAATGATTCGATTTTGATGAAATTGGGTACAAACGTATCAATTTACGTTTATTCGAACGAGTTTGCGAACCAGCATGATCGGACTATGGGAATAGGGGTTTATGGGAGTTTTTATGGGGTAAAAGTAGGTTATTCCCATTTCCCCGCTAAAACCCCAAAATATTACAATTTCTTTCCAAACCATTTTGTAGAGCTAAAAAAATAAATAATTTTGTATATTGGAGCATCGTTGTACGCCTAACGGTTATGGAGATAATTCATAAAAATTAAAATTTAAAATTCCCATTTTATTCTTTAAAAAACTGTTGTAGTTTGCTTGTTCATAGGTATATTTTAATGAAATTTATTCATTTCATAAAAAGCTATCAACATTTTAATAAAAGAACACTCTTTAATACCTTGGCTTTAGCAGCAAACCTAAGTGTTCATCAAAATAATCTGATCAAGAAATAATTCTGACGATTTTAAGGGAATGTAATTAACGAGCCAGGTAAATGAAAATTTGCGTAGTCGCAGGTTTGCTGCGGAAGGATATGGAGATAATGCAATAGTGTACCTTAAGTAAAAAAAAAAAAACACTCCATATTACAACAATGATAGTATTGCAACGCCGCGCCAGCCCCACTTAGCTCACTGATTGAGTATGCATACTGCATTACATCGTCTAAATCTCGCAGGGTTTTTATTAAAGTAAGTACTATTATACACCATTTTAAAGCTAATGAAAGCAGCTACAACTTTTGTTTGAAACATATTTTCATAAAACGTCAGCGAAAAAAGTTAATGCGACAAAAATAAAATTATATGTTCAAAAAAATATAAATCTTTACATTTTTATACAAATAACTAACAAGCGGTAACAGCTACGACAAAAGTCAACGATACAGGATTGTAGGAAATTTTTTAACAAAGACAATAAAACTAATTGCAATTCAATGTGGCGTTTAACAATCGAGAAAAACGTGATTTACGAAACCCTTACACTTTATATGTTTAGGGGGGCACAGGGGGGAAAGCAAGAGGGGTGGGGGCGGGGACTTTTGGCTGAACACTTGTCTAAATGGTAATAGTCGATGGGCAAAAAATCAGCCTTTCACTAATTACTTCCGACACAATCCCTTTATTGACTGGGCTATTGTAGTGGGTGAATCATTTTGTTATTTAGGACATAACAATTTTAAAAATATAAAACAATGTGAGAAGTTGTTGTTATAGCATATTGAGAACAGCTTCCTACTCAGAATTGTAAATAAGTTTTGACAACCCCACGATCTTGATAAATTTAAATAGGAAGATTTAACAACCTAATTTAATTTAAACCCTGTTCAACCCTAAACATTTATTAACATTTATTATTAAGAATTTTTACTCTTTCTCCCCATCATCATGTTCCGATGTAGAGCTTTGAATAATAATAAAATAAATAATTGTAGGTCCCCTGTTTGCATTACTATTTATTTTGAACACTGCCAATCTATATTATTAATAAGCTACATGATTTTTTTTTAACAATAAGGTTTTTTTGTTTAAAAAGATTTAACCCTACAATATACACCAAAATGTACGTATTGGAGTTTAGATTTGAAAACTGACCTAAAATTCTTTTTAAAGGCTTTTGGGCTCTGTCCCAGAGGCTTTTAAAATTAACATGTTCTCCTTATGAAGAACATTTCTTTACATTATGATCAGCTGGTTACTGTAATTAGAGGTGAACTGTAAGAAAGGACCATGAGGTCCTAAGTTTGCCTCAATAAAGAATGATTTTCATTTCATCAGCTGGATAATTTAATTGCTGTTAATTCAGTTGCAATTTAAGGAAACGTGTGCTACAAACATTTACTGACTTGGTTGAAATGGCATTTTTACTATTTGAATTTGGGTTGGCGTATATATTACAATGAAAAACCGAGAAAGCTTCTCGACAATTTAATATACTAAAAAGAAAACTGAATTAACACTGTGCTGCATTTCTTCCTTATGGAATCATAGGAAAGCAATAGAACATCATCAAGTAAAAGAAATAGAAATAATGTATATCGTGAGTATTTCCATAATCTTTGAGTCGACTCTCTTAATGTCATCGGAAATTATGACTGTTATTCGTTTTAAAATAAAGCCTGTAATATTCGCGATTGCTCGAATTACACCAATCACAAAAGAAGGAGCAACGTTTCTTCTGAGTTTCAACTAAGTAAATCATTGAATGTTGCAGTGTAACAGTACAGTAAATCAATTAAATTATATATAGACTATAGTTAACCTTTTATATCAGCTAAATAAATGTATAATTGAATACTAAACCAGTTTAAAAGAGGTATAATATGAAAAGAATACGATAATACTTCATTCACATAATATCCACTAGTAAGGTATTAAATGTGTATTTAATAATATAAATGGAGTAAGTGCATTTTTAACACAAACACGCACACTGCGCCTCTGCGATGCTAAAAAATCGAGCAGTAGACACAGTAAAATCCATGAACCGGCAACCGGCAAGTTGCGTTCGACATGTACAATGGGAAACAATGCCATTGTTTGCGCTTCCGTTGGTAACGCAGATTGTTAGGGCTCGCAATTGCCGCTAGGAGCAGCACACTACTAGGCTAAAAATCTCCCACGCTAAACTCCATATGGCTGCCTATCTCTTTATATTACTTCATCTATGATATTACTGTATTTCTTATGTTCTTTGACGTTGTCTATAGCAATGTAATGTTGACAAATGACAATAAATGGATTCTGATTCTGATTCTGATACCCTCCCTGTAGCAGCAAACCTAGGTACCAGTTATACCTAATGTTATTTAAATAGGTTTGTGAAAATCAAATCAAGCAAATAGAAATTCGCTTAGTCTGCAGGTTTGCTGAGGTAGGGGTATTTTTATTCATACTTTCATTTATTTTCTATTAATAGCAAATAAACTGGCATACTCTCTAAATCAATACGGTGTTTGCTTCAAACAACTATATTGTGGAAATATTGATAAAAACCACAAATTTATACGTCTTTGGAAAATTTATTTATTTTGATGGTCTGTATTTTGACCATTATTTACGCTACATACTTGCTGTTGGGCTTAAACTGTCACAAATTTATTCTTCTTTAATGTAATAGTATAAAATTTTCGGTAAAATCAACGGTTCGCGAAATTGAGTGAAAAACAATAGGAATTGCCATATTTTTTATATTTCGATAACAAGTGGCGCGCCCCGCGGCAAGCGGCAGTATCTCGAGGTGGATAACTTGGATTTTATGTTATGGGCCCAATACTAACAACATATCCAAAAATCAGAACTCCCAACCTTTTGCATACCAAAATGTCTTATTTTACTGGACTATAATTATTGTTACTTAAAGAATGTGTATTGTAGTGTTTAGCAGCAATTGGAGATTCTCTATTTATGTTTATTAATTGTTAACAGACTGCTGGTCAGACAACAGGTTGGATACTTTGTATATGTTTCTCAACTCAGCAAGAGGCAAAGCCCTAGCCTCCTTCTCCCCCGCCATTGAGGTCACTGACAAAGGAGGAGCATCTTGTTCTGTGGAAAGTAAGCAATTTACACAATATAGGTATTGTATTACAATCATTTTATTAAAACTCAGGTATTTCAATGTTAGGAATCTACTTTCTTTTACTGTCGGAGGGGAAAAAAATGTGCACTCGAGTTTGGGCATCTCCGAGATAGATTATCTGATTTTGTTGAAACAAAAATTAAACGTGCTAACTTAAATACATTTTATGTGGTAACAATAAAAATAAACGGTATCAGCATTCTGACACATACTTTCTCCCATAAGTTTGTCAACAACCTTTATCATGTGTAAGCGGTGAGAGTAAATTTACGGAAATGGGATTTGTCCAATTTTGTTCAGAATTTAAAGGACTATAACATACTAAATGTTTATCAAAATTGTTCGGGCCATTTTTGGGAAAATCCGATTTTCCGTTATTTTATGGGGAAATAACATAATTTACGATAACTTTTGAACCGTAATTTTTACAGAAATGCGATTTGTACCATTTCTTTCAGAATTAAAAGGGCTACAACATACTAATTTTTTTTCAAAATTGTTTGGGCCATTTTTGGGAAAATCCGATTTTCTGTTATTTTTATGGGGTTTTTATGGGAAAATAACATAATTTACAATAACTTTTGAACTGTAGTTTTTACAGAAATGGGATTTGTACCATTTTGTTAAGAATTTAAAGGGCTACAACATACTAAATTTTTATCAAAATCGTTTGGGCAATTTTTTGAGAAAATCTGATTTTCCGGTTTTTGGGGGTTTTTATGGGAAAATCCTAATTAAAAATCAAAATTTCAAAAAAATGAAAAAAAACGCCTGGAGATACCATGGATTAGAACCTACATACCAAATTTCATCGAAATCGGACCACAGGTGTAGTCCCTAGCTCTGTACACCTCCAGACACACCAATACGGGGTTTTACCGAATACTCACAAACACCTAATTGTGGCATCTTTCAAACTGCGGCCACCAGTGGATGAAGGAAGGTGGTAGAACCATGTGTGCATCGATATTTTTAATGAACACTCCATTTTAACATCTAACATTACAGTTTTTAATTGTGGCACCTTGCCACAAATCGGCATATATCAACAGTGTGTGGACAGGATGCCACTAATGCGTTGTAGCGCTTGAGCGGTGTGTTCGCCCCCCCTACATCTCGGGTGCGCTGTTGCCAGTTCTCCGTTCTAGTTCCTTCATTCCGTTATGTATTCATGTGGCTATGCCCTAGCCGTTGTAGCTCATTGCCCGCACTCATCACGTTGTCTTTTATTAGTGTAATGATTTTTTTACATGAAGTTTTTTCCAAGCTCCAATAATTTTTACAATTATTGGATTTAAAGTCAATGGACCAAATGAAATGTTGTGAGGATTACATAAAACTACATGCTATGTCGTTGATATTTTATCGTCACATTGTATGTATGGCTTACGAACTTAGATACTTGGATTAAAGACCTTAATGTGCTGGGTAAATTATCAGTTTCATGGGAATATACAAGAAATTTACATTAAAATACGCAATAAGTATGACTCCGTTTTTTCTGTATGCGTATAATTAATTCAAATATTTATTCTAAAACAAATAACCTCAAAGTATTGGGAATACAACAAAGATATATATGTAATGTTTGTTGATTTTAGCAAAGCTTACAACTCAATAAACAGACATAAACTGTGGAAAATGATGAAAAAGTATGGATTACCTAATAAAATAATTCAGTTGGCAAAAATGTGTTTAAACGAATCCAAAGGGAAAGTAAAAATAGGGAAAGAATATACAGATACATTTAATATAAATACCGGAGTGAGACAAGGTGATGGTCTATCGCCATTATTATTCAATATAGCACTAGAAGAAGCTCTCAAGAAAACAAGAAATAGAGAAGGAGGGGCAAGACTTACTGATAAAATAAACCTTCTAGCATTCGCAGATGAGATGATGTAGGGCCTAGCCATTGTAGCTGAAAACAAAAATAATCTCAAAGTGCTAACAGAAGTACTAATTAAAGAAGCAAGAAAAGTGGGTTTACAAATAAATGAAAACAAAACCAACTACATGAAAATAAGTAGGCAAGATGATGAGGAAGAGCACTTAGAAGTATTAAACTATAGGTTCCAGAAAACTAGTATTTTTAAGTATTTGGGAGTGATGATCACAAACAATAATAGAGAAGAAATAGAAATTCAGAGCAGACTCACAGCAGCAGAAAGATCATACTGGAGTTTAATAAAATTATTCAAAAGCAAACTGCTATCAAAAACCACTAAAATAAGAATATATAAAACTATAGTGCAACCTGTATTGATATACGGGTCAGAAACTTGGTCTTTTACCAAAAAATCCCAGAAGCGCCTTATTACTTTTAAAAACAAAATTTTGAGAAGAATTTTTGAACCAGTAAAAGAAGGAAATGCATGGAGGATAAGGAAAAATAGAGAGTTAAAAGAATTATTTGGTGAACCAGATATTGTGGGAATAGTTAAGAGTAGGAGGTTGAGATGGATGGGCCATATTAACCGTAGAAGTGAGAGAGAGATGGTAAAGATGGTACTCAGAGGTATACCAGAAGGAAGGAGACCATTAAGTAGACCAAGAATGCGATGGGTTGATGAGGTGACGAAGGACTTGAGAGGAATGGGAGCAGACTTGGATCTGGCAGAGGATAGAAGAGCTTGGAGGCACATGGTTGGCGAGGCCAAAAACCACCTAGGTTTCCAATGGCCACAGGAGTAAGTAATATAATTAATTCATGGTAATGTAAAAGTATGCATAAGAAATTTTTCACCACACTATGATGTTTTTAGCTGTTTTACATACGTTAATTGGTGGCTGAAAGTTACGTTTTGCTGGCCATGCCAGCTGTCATCGTCATATGGAGACCGAGCAGGGGTTTACATCCCTAGGGCCGCAAAATCATTTGTTCGCTTATTTACTTAAAACATTAATGTATATTAAATGCACAAGTTGTATCCATGGCATTGCAATAGACTTGTTTTTTTGTCACAGCTGCCTATTTATTGTTATTTTTGATTTTGCTAATTCCTGAAAATATTTCACATAAATAAGAGGGACGTTATATTGCAAAACATACTTGGGTGAAAAATAGCGTTCGTGCTACGAGCCAAAATGGGTTTGCAGCTCTCTATCGTTTCACGTTCTTTATTTCGTCTCGAACTTAAAACCCAATCTCGAGTCGGCAAAACCTCACTTTCGGACCTAGGTATGAAATATTCTATTTTTTACGGTGGATTTAGAGACCCAAAGATTCTCACCCCGTTGTGAAGCACGGGCAGAAACACTAAAGTTAATCATAAGATTATAAAGTCTTTACTGTTTTGTCTGTACATTGCGTAGAGTCATGAAGTGTTTGGTTATTTCTACGTTTTATATAATAAGAAAGCCGTAATGAGTCTTATGTCAATATCTGTACGATTGTTTGATTGTTTCTGTCATTGTGTCTGTAACGCCAAAATTCCAATTCACGTGTCCTACCTCGAGAAAACTAGAGTACCGTTCATGATCCAAATAGTTTTGTAATTGTTTGAATAAATTTGCCTGGATATAAATTGGTCTGGCAAATTGGAAAAAGGTCTGGATATAAATTGGGAAATTTTGTATTTTGAGGGTAACGTTTTTCTCCATTTCTATCAGTTTATAAGGAGTTCATTTTACCTTCCTCTTGTGACAACATAAGGAAAAAATATTTGTGCCCCAGTTAGTCTGTTCTGACTTAAAATTCATAGATTTGCAGTACTGACAAATCCAATCTAACGACCCCAATTTTTAAAAAAATGGTATTTTTTAGAAGGGACTTCCAGAGCACATTTAACACCATCACTGCTCTTTACCTTTTTAGTTCGATGGTTCCCTACATGTTTTTTTTGGTTCTGTATATCTCTTTACGCCCGGTTAATGATTACCTTTTCTTTTTCTTTTTGTACTTTTCACATCCTGGGGTAATGATAAAGTTTTATAACGCTATAATGACCCGAGTCAACATTGCTATTAAACATCAAGTCAGATACCAGTACGTCTTCGCCAGAACCGAAATCGTAAGTCACAGTTTCTCAAGCAACTTCCCTCGAAAAAATATAGTTAGGGTATAGTTCACTGATAAATTGTAGTACCAAATATCCCAGCGTACTCGCCATCTCGAGAAGGTAAAATTTGGACGTCGAACACTGATCTTGAGTAAGATTAATCACTTACGATAAAATGTATGTATGTTTACCAATCATTAGCAATTATCTGTAGGCTACAACTTGCAAGCGGATTTCCCTATGATTGTTCTGGTGGCTATAGAGAATAAATTATATTGATCAAAATAATAAGTTTCTGTCCCCTACTATGGGTATTATTTCACATTCCATACTCAAACTTAAACTCAATTAGCAATTTCCTTCAGATCACTTTGCAGGAAAACTAAAACATTTTTGTGTCCCAGTTAGTCTGTTCTCACTCGAAATTCATAGATTTGAAGTAGTGACAAATCCAATCTAACGACCCCAATTCAAAAGAGTTGGTTTTTTTTGTAGGGACTTCCAGAGCACATTTAACACCAACACTGCTCTTTACCTTTTTAGTTCGACGGTTCTCTAAATTTTTTTTTCGTTCTGTATGTCTCCTTACGCCCGGTTAATGATTACCTTTTCTTTTTCTTTTTGTACTTTTCACACCCTGGGGTTAATGATAAAGTAATATAACGCTACAATGACCCGAGTCAACATTGCCATTAAACATCAAGTCACATACATACTTTTTCGCCAGAACCGAATGGTAACTGGTAAGTCACAGTTTCTCAAGCAACTTCCCTGTGTACTTGAAAAAAAATTCACTGATATTATTGTAGTTCCACGTATCCCAGTGTAATAGGAGGGTCAAATATTGTAAAGAGGAAGTGTTTGGCAATGTTGTGTGAGTAGGCTGGTAGTGTTGTTAAACAATAACTTGTTGTGCTGACCTACTGAAGGCTGTTGCTTTAAGTAGGCCAGTGCACTTGATCAAGGGGTCAGTT